ACCTGGTGGAAAGTAGAAAAAAATTTTTAATTAAAATGGAAATATGAATATCAAACCTTTTGGTTGAGATTAAAGCCATACTTAAAGGGGAAGTTTGTAGCCTTAAAATGTATATGTAAGAAAGTTAGGCTAAAAATGAATTAAACATCCTTGTCAAGAAACCAGAATAATAACAGCAAATTAAATTCTAATAAATTCAAGAAAATAACAGAAATTAATGAAATATATAACGTGACCAACAGAAGATTAACAAAGCACTAAACTCTTTAAAAATTTTAGACTAATAAAATTGCTAATCTCTTAGGGGGAATGACCAAGAAAAGAGAAAAATGGCAAAACTGTTATTAGGAATGAAAAGGAATCATTATGATTAACGTCATTAAAGACGAGACGTTTAAAGTAACCAAAATATAGATGAAATAAATTCACAGAAAAAAACAAATCTGTAACAAGGAAAATTTAGTAATCCTGTGGCTGTTAAAGGAGTTGAAGCTGTCATTTTGAAAGCCTTTCCACAAAGAAAACTCAAGCCCTGGATGACTTTATCAAAAAATTGCACCAATGCTTACAGAAGAAACAATGCTTATCTTAACAAAATGTCAGCAATAGGAAGGATTTCTTAAATAAGGTCCTCCTAAGACAACTCTAAAGGAAATGATTGATGTATTTGACTGTCTTAAAGACAGGTTTATCTTAAGATACCATTTAAAACCACAAAAGGGGGGCGCCTGGGTGGCTCAGTCGGTTGAGCGTCTGACTTTAGCTCAGGTCATGATCTCACGGTCTGTGAGTTCAAGCCCCACGTTGGGCTCTGTGCTGACAGCTCAGAGCCTGGATGGAGCCTGTTTCAGATTCTCTGTCTCCCTCTCTCTGCCCCTTCCCCGCTCATGCGCTCTCTCTGCCTCTCAAAAATGAATAAACGTTAAAAAATTATTTTAAAAAAAGATAAAAACACAAAAGGCCATATAGCGTTGGACAATGTACTTTCATTCATATACCCCTTCAAGGGACGGGTATCCAGAATATATGAAGTACATCTGTATATCAAAAGAAAAACCCTCAATAGGAAACAGGGCAAGACTTAAACTAAATTAGAGGGGAAAATTTCCATTAAACATGGAAAGTTGCTTAATCCCATTTTGAAAAACTACATCGGTTTAGAGTTCGTGTGGAACTTTAGCTCTGCTCTGCTCTATTTTGACTGTAGCAGCAGCTGATCAGGGGCCGGAACCTTTTATACTTTGTAAAAATGTGGCCTGAAAGGGGAAGTTGTGGTAAAATACATTGGAGCCACCAGATGGCGCCACACTAAAGCGTGTTTCTCGCAGTCTTTGTCTTCAGAAACGTTAAGAGCGAGGTAATTTCTTAGCCGTCTTTCCCGGTATGCCTGCAGTCCACAGTGAAATATTTTGAGCTCTCCTTCACAGGGGTGATGAAACTGAAACATTTCCAACTAGAAAATAGAATTTTAGACATTCTCTTTGGATAAACCCTGGACAGTGTGGATGCAGTGATTTCCTAACATATCATTTGTACATTTGTACATAGGATTTGGTGTTTTCCAGGGCACCTAAGGGAAATCTTCCAGATTTCCACATATGACCCAACTCTGATGACCCAATTCTGAGCAGGAAGGAAAATCAGGTAACACATAAGAACAAGTCAGATTGCTAGCAGTCTACACTGAACCACTGCATATTCCATAGACTCCTGGCAGCTGTCTGTTCAGACCACTTGGTATTTTTCACATTTTTAATGTTGGCCATTTTGGTAGATATGTAACGGTATTTTATTATGGTTTTAGTTTTTGTTTCCCTGGTTATAGGGAATTGAGCTCCTTTTCATAATTTGTAGGCCATTTGATTTTCACTTTTATGAAGTACATTTTTTAGTCTATTTCATTTTTATCTACTTGTAGATGTTTTTTATGTATTTTGGATATGACTCCTTTATCAGTTACATCCATGACTAATAACTTTTCCCACTCTATGGCATGCTCTGTCATAATGAAAAAGAAAAGTTCTTAATTTTTTTTTTTTTAATTTTTTTTTTTCAACGTTTATTTATTTTTGGGACAGAGAGAGACAGAGCATGAACGGGCGAGGGGCAGAGAGAGAGGGAGACACAGAATCGGAAACAGGCTCCAGGCTCTGAGCCATCAGCCCAGAGCCTGACGTGGGGCTCGAACTCACAGACCGTGAGATCGTGACCTGGCTGAAGCCGGACGCTTAACCGACTGCGCCACCCAGGCGCCCCGAAAAGTTCTTAATTTTAAACTGGAGAAACTGCATTACTCTTTTCCTTTATGGTTAATGCTTTTTCTGGTGTGATCTAAGAAGTCTTTCTCTGCTCCAAATTCATTAACATATTTGTGCCAATATTTTTCAAATACTTCAGTGTCTTACCTTTTAAATTTGGATCTACAGTTTATCTGGAATAGAATTTGTGCCCAATGTAAGGTAGAGGTCAGGTTCCATTCTCTCCCCTATGGATTGTTCCTATACTGTTTGTTGAAAAGATAAATCCTTTGTTGCATTGATTACAGTGCTATGAGCCAGCTGTCTGTATATGTTTGAGTTATTCAGGGGTCTGTATTCTGTTTTATCAGCGTATTCTTCCCTAATACCACATTGTCTTCATTGCTCTAGCAGTGATACTGATACTACTGATACCTGGTAGTGAAAGTTTGCTGACCCTGGTGTTTTTCCAGAATATTAGCTGTTCTTTATCATTTGCATTTCCAAATAAATCTAATGGCCAGCTTATCAACTTACACACACACACACACACACACAATTGCAATTTTGAGGAGGGTTTTTTTTTTTTGAAATAATATAACAATTTGAAGGAAATTAACATATTCATAAAATTTAGTCCTCTGATCTGTGAAGCCAGTATATTTCTGCATTTATTTAGATTTTCTCTTGACTCTCACTGTTTTATTGTTTTGGTTTAAGGTCTTTAATATTTTTCATATAAGATGTATTTTTTAAGTGATGTGATTTAGGGCTCCCCACCCCCCCTGCTTTACTGAGGTATGCTTGACAAATAAAAATTGTATATATTTGAGGTATATGTCTTAGTTAGTTTGGGCTAACAAAACAGTTCTGAAAGCTGGGAAGTCCAAGATCAAGGTGCCAGCAGGCTCACTGTTCTTTGAAGGCCGCTCTCCTGGTTCATGGATGGTGCTTTCTTGCTTTGTCTTCACAGAGAAGGGGCTTCTATTATAAGGGAACTAATCCCAATCATGAGGGTTTCACCCACTTGACCTAATCACCTGCTACAGGCCTCACTTCCTAATACCCTCACCTTTAGCGATTAGGATTTCAGCATGTGAATGGGGGTGGGGGCATAAGCATTCAGTGGATGGCAGCATACAACTGTACAACATGATGGTCTAATGTATGTGTATGTTGTGAAATGGTTACCACAGTTAAGCTAATTACCGTATTCATTACTTCACATACTCATAATCTGTGTGTGTTGAGAACACTTAAAATCACCTCCCATAGCAAATTTCATCTATGCAGTACAGTATTGACTCTAGTCCCTATGCCATATAGTAGCACTCCAGAACTTACTCATCCTGCATAAATGAATCTTCGTACCTTTTGACCAACATCTTCCCGTTCCCACACCCCTCAACTCCTGGCACCCCCCATATTCCACACATAAGTGAGATCATGCATTCTTTGTTTTTCTGTGCCTGGCTTATTTCACTTAGTATAATGTCCTCCAGGTTCATCCATGTTTCCCACAAAAGGCTAGATGTTTTGTTTTTTTTTGTTTTTTTTTTTCTTTTTAAAGGCTGAATAATAATCCTTTGCACATACCACATTTTGCTTCCCCATTCATCAACAGATTGTTTCCAAATCTTGGCAGTTGTGAATAACACTGCAGGGAACATGGAGTTCCTGCTATCTATTCAGCCAACAGTAGGAAGAAGGTGGAACCCTCAGTTCTCCAGGGAATGAATTCTCCCCAAATCTGGACCAGCTAGGAAGTGGCTTTTTCCCTAGGTCAGCCTCCAGATTTGAGCACAGCACAGCTAGCAGCTTGATTACAGCCATGGGAGACCCTGAGCAGATGACCCAGCCAACCTCAGCGCAAACTCCTGACGCACTGAAATTGTGCTATTTTGAGCTGCTGAGTTCGTGATAATTTACAGCAACAGATAACTAATATTATTACTTATTCGCTGTATATTCTCTCTGCCTTAGTTCTCTTATCCACAAACAGGTTACCAGCAATAACCTGTCTCGTATTTATTGTTGCTCTGCAGATGAAGTGAGTTCACACATGTATAATCCTTTGTCAGTGCCCGGCCACCTCGCACGTGCCTGTGCTGCCACTCTGTCTGCCTGCCTGCCTCTTAACCCTCATCACACTTGGGTAGTTTTCTCCCTTAATTCTTCCATTTCATCTCCTTTTCTAGAATTTCATTTCTTGACCCAACTTGGCTGGCCAACACTCCTTTATGTAGTGGTCACTTATCTGACAAAAGCACCTCTTGGAAATATAATCAAGATGCTCCCCAAACTAAAATTGGTTCCAAATAGAAAATGCACTAAGACTATACTCGTAACGTGTTGATGAGACTCAGCACTTCACTGTTTCTAAGTTAAAACACACTGGGAGTCAGAAATTTAATAAGTGAGTGGAGAACTAGAAAGAACCATACTCCTAGCACTAAGAATGTGATGAAGGCACCCTGAGGTGGAAGGAGTCTAAAAACTCGGACAAGGCACAGAGGAGCTCTAAGGTAGAGGCAGGCTGTACCCAGGGGTTCTCTGAAGGTATCACTGAACAAATATAACGTCATGTTGGGTAAGACACTCCTCTTAATACTTTCACACTTTTAAAGACATATATTAGAAATATCTAATAGTTTAAAAGATTTTTTAAAATTTATTAAACATTCCTTGTTCAACAATAAAAATAATTTTAAAATGTGTAAAGGACCTAAAAGAAACTTCTCTAAAAAAGATACACAAATGGTCAATAAGCACATGAAAAGATGCTCAACATCACTTAATTATGAGGGAAATGGAAATCATAATCACATTAAGATGGGTACTATAAAAAATAGAATAAAATCCCAAGTGTTGGTGGAGAGGTGGAAAAATTAGAACCCTATGCCCTGGAGGTTCCTCCAGAAAATTAATAGTACCATATGATGCAGCAATCCTATTTCTGGGCATATATCCCAAGGAATTGAGAACAGAGTCTCAGAGAGGTATTTGCACACCCATGCATGATTCACTATAGCCAAAAGGTGGAAGAAACACAAGTGTTCATCGATGGATGCATCAAAAAATAATTTGTGGTATGAACATAAAATGGAATATTATTCAGCTTTTAAAAGGAAGGAAATTCAGACAGCTGCTATAACATGAATGAACTTTAAGAAAAGACATTATGCTAAGGGAATTAAGCCAGCGAACAAAAAGATAAACTGAATTATTTTGATTGTGTGGGGTACCTAATAGAGTCAAATTCACAGGCACAGAAAGTAGAATAGCAATTGCCAGGGGCTAGGCAGGAGGGAAAAATTGAGTTATGGTTCAATGGGTATAGAATTCCCATTTGGCAAGATGAAAAATTTCTGGAGATGGATTGTATGACGTTGCAAATGTATATAACATTCCTGAAATGTACACTTCAAAATGGTTAGGTTTGTGTATTTTACCACAATTTTTTTTAATTGCCAAAAAAAAAATCCAACCCAAGAAAAATGAACAAATGAAGTATTTGTGGTAGGCTGAGGGAATCGGTAGGCAGTGATGAGTTTCAAGTCCTTTGAGACCAGAAGCATGTTTAGGGCAACTGCACACACCTAAAAAACCCAAACTGCAAATGATCACTCCCCTGCCTCTCATCCATAAAATCCCCTAGGGCACCAAATATCAAGTAGCTAGTCAGCACTGATATTGCACCTAGGGCAAAAATTCACAGGGAAACTTGAACTTGGATTTTAAGTCAAGCACTTCGTTTCGCTAAAACCCTCTAGGGCTTTGTCATACTAAGGAGCAAAGAAAGAAGCTTTAAAAGTAGCAATTTTTTTGTCATTGCCAAGGTCAGACTTTAAATCTTAATTGAACTCGTGACTTCCTTTGAGAGGCAAAATAATAGACGAGATAGCCAAAGAGCTCTTTCTGTTCCAGGAGGCACGTGGAAGGGACAGGTATTGTGTTGTGGTCTAGAGATCTGCCAGCAACCAAGATGCTCAGGATGGCGAGAGTTCCGGAATCCTTTGTGGCCTGCTTAGAGCAGCACATCAGGCCTCCGTCTGGCTTCTGATGGCCCCAAAGCCAGCAAATCCACTGCAGCCTGGATCTTGGGGTGGGTTCTACCACTAAGTCATTGGCATTCTGGGTTTCTTTTCACTATTTTTTATCTTACAATTTAAAAAATGTTTTGCACTAGTTACTCCTGAGCCTTGTCCTGTCTCCACCTTCTGGTTTAAAGACTACTGGGGCCTGGAATGTTACTGCATCAGGGCTCCTGATGAGCATGGGTTTGAGGCTTCAGAGTCAGGTGCCCCCCCACCTCCACTCAGGTGACAGGGAAGGAGAGTTAGAAGTGTAGCAGAGGGGCTACTGTCTTTGCTGTGAAAGCCTGTTCTCTTAGAGATCATGACTGGCAGGCAGCCGACCTATGTGGACTTAACCCCAGTTCTGCCTTCTCCTTCCTTGCTTCCCTGCCTTCCCTCGTTTTAGAACATGTCCCCAAGTCCCTTTTTTAAGGCAACCATCCCGTCTCCAAGGCATGGTGTTCTGGTGGGATTTCAAGTGACAGTAACCTCCCCCCCACCCCCCGTGCGCGCGCGCGCGCGCACACACACACACACACGTATTGTGTGCATGACTGCAGGTGGGCCTGTGTGAGGCCTTCCTACATTCCTTAGCATATAGGTGGAGGTCAATTCCTGTGAGCTCCCATGACACTCTTTCTCAACTACAAGACTACTACACCCAATAATTAGCTGGTTGACCTTGAGCAAGTTACGTACCCTCTCCAATCATCCGTGCAATGGGGGGTAAAAGTTCCCTAAGAGGATGGCTGTGAGAATGAGCACAGCCCACACATGCCTAGCGCAAGGCTGGCCTTTACTAAGCACGTCTTCATCCCCTCCATGCAGTGGCCCAACCCTCAAATAGCCCCACAGCCTAGCACGTCCACTGAGCTTTGCTTTCCCTCCCCTGTTAGGCCAGGTCTGTAAAGCGCTTTTGGCAATCTGGAACTAATAAAAGTCTAATGAATAAACCAATCATTGAACCTGTACTGGAAATTTATCTTCTGCATTTATTTCTTAAGGTTGGAAAGAAAGCAGCACTCTTAATTAATTTTGTACTATCTCTTTCAGTAGGAGCGTATGCTGGTGATTTTCTTTTATCAGTCCCGAAATCCTTGTTTTTAGGAAATAGAGGGTCTGAGGAACTTGCTCATGAACAGCCTTGAACTAGATTGAAACACCTGCTGATTCTCTGGTTTTCTGTTCAGATTTGAGAGCTGCAAGTGGCTGGCGACAAAGGAGAGAGAAACCTCCAGTGACTTCACAAGCTACTGGGCAGAGAAAGGAGGGTGCCAATGTCATGGAAGGCAAAGAACAGCCTGTTTTCTGAAATCCAGGTCAAGAAGATGATTGAGAGGTTTGTTTAATTCAAGGGAACACGTGCTCGCCACTCACTGATTTCCTGGAATAACTGGCTGGGCTGCACTGGGTTTCCCCTTACTCTCTGCCCATCACACCAGGAAAGCCCCTCGGCCACGTCACAGTTTGGCATGTGGTGTTCTTCATGTGGGATGCTCTGATGAGATTGACCCTGTGCGTGATGTCTGAGGCTTCATTTGAAAGCATCAAGTGGTTTTTCATAGCCTTCCATGATTTGTTTCCCCCAAGGCCCCTGCTCCACACTGGCCCAGTGAGGACGCTCTGTGGGAGCACTATATACTATCTGTCCAGTGAGTCGAGTGGAGACCTTGTAATGGTTTGACAGTCTGTACAGAACTCGTGCTACCTGAGGAAAGAACACAGCTCAGTCCTGAGGTATCGGGCAGTTGCTCAACAGCCTGAGCTTCTGACATGGCCTCTTTTGGGGTCTCTGGTGCTGGCAAAAGGCACGTGCCCATGTGCCTTTTAATGAGATCTCAGTCCTGAAGGCATTTCTCCTGGCGTGCAGGGGTAGGCGGAGATTGACTCTATTCAAGTTCATCCCCAGGATGCATTCAGCAGGAATAGAGAGGAGGGTGTCCAGTGATTAAGTCACTCATCGGCATTTCTCAGCTGGAGGTCCACATCTGCTCTGAGGCGTTTCTCCCTATGCACTTGATCATGCTCTGAATAGCCCACGATGTTTCCTGTCTCTTCATTTGTGCACTCTGCGGTTGTCTGTGAGTCAGTTAACCTGACCTGTTCTTTGGCTTTCTGTTTGTTTGAATCTGACTACCGTAGATAACTTATATTTTATAAACTTCTATTAACTTATATAAAAACACAATGTTTGTCTTTTTGTGCTTGGTGTGTGTCACCTAGTGTGGTGTCTGTCTTCAAGGTTCATTCATCCATGTTGTACGGTGGCAGAATTTCCTTTCTCGTCAAGGCTGAAGAGTATTCCTCTGTGTGTGTGCACACACAGATGTGCACATATTTTATTTTTCCATTCAGCTCTTGCTGGTCACTTGGGTTGCTTCTAACTCTTGGCTATTGTGGATAATGCTGCTGTGAGCATAGGTGTGCAGGTACCTCTGGGACTTTGCTTTCACTTCTTTGGCATATACCCCCAGGAATGGGATTGCTGGATCATATGGTAGCAGCATTTTTCATTTTTGAGAAAACTCTGTACTGTTCTCCCATGGCAACTGCACTGTTTTACATTCCCACCAGCAATGGTACACGGTCCCAATTCCTACACATCTTTACTGACACTTGTTATTTTCTGGGTTTGTTGGTTTTTTATTTTTTTAATTGTAGCTATCCTAATGGGTGTGAGGTAGTATCTCACTGTGGTTTTGATTTGTATTTCCTTCACAGTTAGTGATGTTCAGCATCTTTTTTTGTGCTTATTAGCCATTTGTACATTTTCTTTGGAGATAGGTCTATTCAAGTCCTGTGCCCATTTTTTAACGGTGGTGGTCATTGTTGCTGAGTTGGAGGAGTTCTCTTTTGTTTTTAATGTTTATTTATTTTGAGAGAGAAAATGTGCAAGTGTGAGTGGGTGAAGGGTAGAGAGAGGAAGAGAGAGACTCCCAAGCAGGCTCAGTGTTGTCAGCACACAGCTGGACACAAGGCTCGATTCCATGAACTGTGAGATTGTGACCTGAGCCGTAATCAAGAGTCGGACGCTCAACTGACTGAACCACCCCAGGCACCCTTGGAGGAATTCTTTATATATTCTGGATATATGATTGCAAATATATATTCTCCCATTCCACAGGTTATGTTTTCATTCTGTTGTGGTTTTTTGATGCAGTTGTTAATTTTGATACAGTCCAGTTCACTTTTTTTTTTTTTTTTACTTTTGTTGCCTTTGCTTTTAGTGTCATATCCAAGAAATTATTGCTAAATCCTCTTGTGAAGCTTCCCCTCAAAGCCTTTTCAAAAGTTTTGTGATATTAAGTCTTAACATTGGCGTCTTCAATCCATTTTAATTTTGATATTTTGTGTAAGGTGAAGATCTGCTATGGTCTCAATGTTTGTGCCTCCTTCCAACTGATATGTTGAAATGCTCTTTATGATGGTATTAGTAGGTGCATCCTTTGGGAAGGGTCTGCTCTCACAAATACAACTGGTGCTCTTGGAACAGAGAGATCCCTTGTGCCCTTCTACCACGTGAGGACACAGCAAACAGGCACTGGCTGTGAAGTGAGAAGAGGGCTGTCATCAGAAAGCAACCATGCTGGCACTTTAACCTTGGGCTTCTCAGCCTCCAGAATGTGAGAAACAAATTTCTCTTGTTTATAAGCCACTCAGTCTGTGGCATTTTGTTATAGTAGCCCAAACAGACTATGACAAAGTTTAACTTTATTCTTTTGCATGTTTATATCCCATTTCCCAGCAGCATTTGTTGAAAAGACTGGCCTTAACCTTTGAGTGGTCCTGGCATCGTTGTTGAAAATCCCTTGTAGAGTAGGTGGAACATACACAGGAGAAATTATTTCTGGGCTCTATGGATATCTAATGTTCCATTGGATTCTATGGCTGTATATGCTAATCCCACATGGGATTTAATTACTGTAATATGTTTTGAAATTAGACCTCCAGTTTGTTGTTTTCCAAGATTGTTTGGTTCTTCAGAGTCCTTTGAAATTCTATATCCATGTTAGGATGGGTATTTTTGCTTATGCAAAAAATGTCATTGGGATTTCGATAGTGCATTGAATCTGTAGATTTCCTTATATAGTATTTACATCTTAACAGTATTAAGTCTTACTATCCACGAAAACAGGATAACTTTCCCTCTTTTGTGTCTTTAATTTCTTTTACTAATGTTTTGTAGTTTTCAGTGCACAGTCTTTTATTGCCTTGGTTAAATTTATTCCTAAGTATTGTAATTTTTTTTTTCTTTTGAGGCCAGTATAAATGGAATTGTTTTCTTTCTTTTTTTTTATTTTTATTTTTTTTTAACATTTTACTTATTTTTGAGAGAGACAGAGTGTAAGCAGGGAAGGGGCAGAGTGAGACAGACAGAATCTCAAACAGGCTCCAGGCTCTGAGGTGTCAGCACAGAGCCCAACGTGGGGCTTGAACCCACAAACCGTGAGATCATGAGCTAAGCCAAACTTGGATGCTTAACTGAGCCACCCAGGTGCCTCTAGAATTGTTTTCTTAATTTCCTTTTTGGACTGTTAGTATATAGAAACATAACCGATTTTTGTGTGTTGATTTAGAATGTGCAGTTTTATGGAGTTTACTGTTGTAACTGTCCTTTGTTTTGTGAGATCTTTAGGACTTTCTACATACAGATCATGCTGTCTTTGAAGAGCGGTAATTTTACTTCTTCCTTTTTAGTATGGATGCCTTCATTTCCTTTTCTTGCCCAACTGCTGTGGCTAGGACTTCTGGTATTTTGTCCAGTAGAAGGGTGAAAGCAGGCAACTAAGTCTTGTTTTTGATCTTAAACGAAAAGCTTTCAGTCTTTTGACCATTGAGTATGATGTTAGCTGTGGGCTTTCCATATACAGCCTTCATTTTGTTCAAATATTTTCTTTCTATTACTAGAGTCTGTTGAGTGTTTTTTCTGTGAGATTGTATTGAATTTTTTCAGATGATTTTTTTCTCTATCAATTGTGATGATCATACCAGTTTTCTGCTCATGTGGTGTCTTACATTGACTGATTTTCTTATGTTGAACCATTCTTGCATTCTTTTTATTATTTTTTTTTTTTACTTATTTTTTTTTTTTACTTAGTTTTGTGACAGAGACAGAGCATGAGCAGGGGAGGGGCAGAGAGAGAGGGAGACACAGAATCCAGAGCAGGCTCCAGGCTCTGAGCTGTCAGCACAGAGCCTGATGCAGGGCTCGAACTCATGGACTATGAGATCATGACTTGAGCTGAAGTTGGACATTTAACCGACTGAGCCACCCCGGTGCCCCATCTTGCATTCTAGGAATAAATCCCACGTGGTCATCTGCATAATCCTTTAAGGTGCTAATGAATTCTAGTTAGCATTTTGTTGAGAATTTTTGCATCGCTTTCCTCTTGCTGCCTTTAAGATTGTCTTTCTTTGACTCTTGATAGTTTGATTATACAGTTTACCCTTGAGCAACCTGGGGGCTAAGGGTGCTAACCACCACCCTCCTGTCATGTACTCAAAAATCCACGTAAAATTTTTGACTCCCCAAAACTACTAAGAAAATAAATTTTGGTTTTTTTTGTTTTTTTTTTCCATTTTAAAAGAAAATTAATTTTATTAATGTTCTTAAATATAAAATCTTTTTTTTTATTTATATATGAAATTTGTCAAATTGGTTTCCATACAACACCCAGTGCTCATCCCAAAAGGTGCCCTCCTCAATACCCATCACCCACCCTCTCCTCCCTCCCACCCCCCATCAACCCTCAGTTTGCTCTCAGTTCTCAACAGTCTCTTATGCTTTGGCTCTCTCCCACTCTAACCTCTTTTTTTTTTTTTTTCCTTCCCCTCCCCCATGGGTTCCTGTTAAGTTTCTCAGGATCCACATAAGAGTGAAACCATATGGTATCTGTCTTTCTCTGTATGGCTTATTTCACTTAGCATCACACTCTCCAGTTCCATCCACGTTGCTACAAAAGGCCATATTTCATTTTTTCTCATTGCCACGTAGTATTCCATAGTGTATATAAACCACAATTTCTTTATCCATTCATCAGTTGATGGACATTTAGGCTCCTTCCATAATTTGGCTATTGTTGAGAGTGCTGCTATGAACATTGGGGTACAAGTGCCCCTATGCATCAGTACTCCTGTGACCCTTGGATAAATTCCTAGCAGTGCTATTGCTGGGTCATAGGGTAGGTCTATTTTTAATTTTCTGAGGAACCTCCACACTGCTTTCCAGAGTGGCTGCACCAATTTGCATTCCCACCAACAGTGCAAGAGGGTTCCCGTTTCTCCACATCCTCTCCAGCATCTATAGTCTCCTGATTTGTTCATTTTGGCCACTCTGAC